CTGTTATTCCAAAATCGGAACAATAATCAAGTCTTGGCACGCTTTATGACAACCAGCCTGAAACCACCCTGCATTCAGACATCTGGGACGACGTTATGCACATGCAGAACCCCCAGTTTAAAATGTCTCCATTCAAACATGTCAAAAGTGCAAGAGAACAAGTGGCCCATGCGGCGGTGCTGTGCGTGGCACAGCCATGGCCACCACCTGCTACCCCTTGGCTCTGCCATTGTGGCTTCCACCCACGTATCCCTCACCTGCACTGTAACAACTGAATGTGAAGAAAGAGGAAGAAATTAAATTCCAAACACACACTTTTAGCAGTGTAAACAAAGCTTTTGCCAAATGATATTCAAACAAACACCTGCAACCCATATTATTGCATGGTAGCCCCTGTCATCAGTGTATGAATGGGTGAATGATGACATGTAGTGTTTAAGTGCTTTGAGTGGTCGGAAGACTAGAAAAGTCTATACAAGTACATCCATTTACCATTTCACATGGCTGCGAGCTGTTACAACCATGAGTGTGGTTTGATATGATGGGAGAAGTTATGTTGCCTGAAATCATCATTTCATCATTTTACAGGGAAAATGTAGAGGGGATTTGATATTTCATTTATAATATTTATAATAAACACAGGGACAGTGTGTGGATGTCTCTTTTTATTTGACTGTGCCTTTAAAGATAGAAACGCTTGCCCTGCTCTCTGGTTCCTATCAGAACGTTCCTTACGTATTGCGTTCTTCTGGGGGGCACCGCAGAAGGTATCTCAACACTCGCCGTAATCATTGATTTGTCATCTTCTGAAGGAGCACCATTTTAATTAACATTCTAATTTGATGGGTGGAGGAGAGAGAGAAACAGAGGCAGAGAAACACTGTTGATGAGTCCAGATAAAAAAAGATCAAAATCTGGATGTAAACAAACCGGCTCGGAGTCAACGCAAAAAAAAAAAAGGAAGAAGAAAACAGCTCCAGAGAGAATAAGGAGGAGACGGTGATCACCTTCACTCGTCCTTCCAGGGGAGCGAGGGAAGGAGGAAGTGGAGAGGAGAGTAGAGGAGGTAGAGGGGAGGAGAGATAGGGAGTGAGAAGAGACTACCCAAAAAGTGTTTGAAAAGCCGTGGGTGGCGCGCCTTATCGCCCCAGTTCTCCTGGAGAGATTATTGGGGGATTAGTGCGAACGCTTGTTTCTAAAACATGATGAAAAGACGTTCGGCGCGTGATAACGCTTTGAACTCCCCTACTCTGCTCCTTCCAGGATCGTGCCTTCAGGCTGCCTTTCCACGAAAGACAGGATTGGGGTGGGGTTGAGCTGCTGGGTGCTGCTGAGGGAGGGAGGACAATAGGGACAATGTTGTAAGTGCAGACTGTCCTGTGGAGACTTCACATTGGACATCTGTCCTTCGGGAGGATGCAACCGATGCAACAAGCTCTAGCTTTGCGTACACGTTAGCACCGTCACTCCTATGCTCTCACTCCATCTGAGCTGAACATTTCACAACAATCCTGCAACTTGGGTCCAATCACATGCACACGCACTATCAGTTAATTAAAGCAGGATCCAATCAGGAGGAGAGGAGATATAATATCAGATTTGTCATGTGCGATCCAATCGGAATAGCAGAAGTGGTGCGCTCACTCCCCGAGTTGCCAGGGGAGGCTCGCCGAGGAGGACCCGGTTGTTCACTCAACCAAAAACAGTGAGGAATCAGCGGCACAGCTGATCAGTTGATCAGTAAACATTATTATACCCTGTTCGAAAGTCCAACAGCCATATCAGCCAGAATATATTTAAATAGATAAATGCTTTCATGCCTCTTTCTCAAGAGATGCAAATGGCAGGATTTCCATATGACACAGACCAGTTAACACGCCACCAATCTAATGAAGGAGATCTGTTGGAGGGAGAGCGAGGACTGGATCTCATTTGCCTCTCTTTGCTCCACCCTGATTTCTCAGAAGTAACAAACTCACCCCCACCCATATGATAACACACACAGACACAAGACAACATCAGAGGTATTTAAATTCATATTGTTTCAGATAAAGGAAATGAAGTCATTGAACATAATGTGTCTCTTTGCGTCTATGTGTTACTTGAGTGTGAATGCTTCCCGATGTAGTTGTGTTGCTCGGTAGGCTTTGTATCGAACTGATAGCTTATCTGTCAGGGTCCAATAAGAAGCAAATTTGTCGAGAGAGAAGTTGAGAGAGAGGGCGATGCTGGAAGGGGCAGGACCACTGAGTGGACCATGCCAATCTCACCCAGAGACGGGGGAGGAAGCCTGGGGGCTTCACAGAGCCCGGTGAGAACAAGGACGAGGACTGAGGAAGACAGGTGGTATAAGTAAGATAGAAGTGAGGAAGGAAAGATCTGGCGGGGGGAAAAGCTTATATATATATATATATATATATATATATATATATACAGAGAGAGAGAGAGAGAGAGAGAGAGAGGTGAGCAGATGGTGAGAGCACATCCAAAGCAGGGAGATGAGCGATAGAGGGAAGTACGGCCAAAAGAAACATCTTTCTACTCAGATAAGATACAAACTGTTACCCTTACTTACTTTACATACTGTATCTGTAAATGAAAATGAAAATGCACCGTCTGCACCACAATGAGCTCGCAATTTAATATGCTAAACACCTGATGAGGAATAAGGAAGGAATGAGAATTGCTCCTTCAAGCAATTTTAAACCATTTCTTGTAAACATGATGTTGGGCAATGCTTTCTTTAAGTGGGTTTCTAGTCATCCATTTTCATGTGCATTTACACTGTACACACAAAATTGGAATAGAAAAAAACATTGATGTGGCAGAAAATGGTGAAAAAAAGGCCTTGCGATCAGAGAGTTGTTGGTCTGATCTCCAGACTGGTGGGATGTCATGTTCATCCAGACTACAGACCAGTTCTAAGCAGGTTATGAGTATGTAGTGTGTTACCACTTACTAATTAAACCTGTGCTGTTGATGTGCAATAGTCTCCCACAACATGTTTTACCATTAATAATAACTATGAAGATAGCCCTGCATCCAAAGACAAAATGTCCAGAATGGACAAATCTGCACCTGACCCTTTGCATCCAAAAAAATGCCAACGTGTAGTGCAGATGCAGGACGTAATGTACCATACACTGTTTATAGTGTTGAGCAAGTTCACATTTCACAAGAGCTACACATCTACTATACATAGTGAACAACTAATCTGTGTTGAAACCAGCAGTAGGAGAGCTAGTTAATGTTAGCTGTTAGCTGTTAGCTGTTAGCAGCTGGTGCAGCACAGTCCTATGGAGCTACCAGCAAACATTAACAGAGGTTGCATTGAGTTGCATGATGATGCGTTCAAGCTCCATTCAGTAAAAGTGAGTATTAGGCAAAGGAAAATTGTAAGGAAGGAATATTGTAACGTCATCATGATGTGCTCAAATGTGATTTTGTAAAAGTGAGTTTTTTTCGAGAAACTTAAGTAGTAAATATGGTTGTTTGAAGGAGATCTTTTCACTGCAGTATTAAATAGATATTAGAGAGAGAATTATGACCTTTTCAACTATTTTTGTTTTTCACGCACTGGTAGGATCACGACCAGGTGTTGGCTGATATCAGCAATCAGAATCTTGAAATGGTATCGGAACATCTCTCAAAAAGTCCAACAACGACGTCCGTATGCAACGCACCAGGCTTACTGCTAACTCCAATTTAAACACACTCACATCCCTATTACACACATTGAGAGCAACTGATGTAGTATGATGTGCAAGATAGTCCCACAGGGCTGGTGGAGGTGGATGGGTCAATGCAACACAGTGGTCCAGGAGACCGCTGAATGTGTCCCATTCAAAACTAAAAGGAAACGTTGCCAGTTGCCAGTAGAGCAATGCATAGTTTACGGGCCTAAAACTGCAACTAAATGTCTCTTTGGCTAAAGTACTGGAGTATTGGATTCATCTTCATATTTTACTAGATGCAAACAGAATCTTTTGACATTGAATATTATTCCTGCATCTATAAAAAAAACTTAGTTCATCCTCTCGCTGTTCCTGAAATAAAACCGTTCAAATAGCCAATCAAGGAATGCAGTGTGATGGCTCGGGCTTCAGCGGAGGAGGAGAGCCCTGACCCCTGCTGACCCACAAGGGAGGGAGGCAGGGAGGGATGGAGGGAGGAGGGAGGAGGGGGAGGATGTGGAGTGACAGGGGGAGAAACACAGGAGGAATGTGAGATTACGGACACTATCTCCAGCAGATACTGAAGGTCCGTCTCCTCACTTCTCCAGTCCGCAGATATGAAGGGAATGAGGAAGAAAAGAGAAAATGGGTATTAAGAGTCAGAACGAGATGCTTTCCATATGAATGCAAAGCCCTCAAAAGAACAGAAACTGACTTTACAGTTTAGAGGAGGAATAGGACGGTATGGGCAGCGGAAGTGAGGGGAAGAACAAAAGGTGATGGGTGAGTAGGTGTGTCTGTGTGTGTGTGTTTGTGAGTCCACACACACACACACACACACACACACACACACACACACACACACACACACA